CCACTTTCCAGCTCCCTTCCTTCCTCCCAAACATCAGCAACAGGATTAACTGAGTGCTTACTTACGATGGGTCAAGTCCCACATGAAGTGCCTGAAATCTTATCTAAAACACACATAACTCTATTAGATAGTTAAAGTTATCATCCCTGTTTTGCAGACCAGAAAACTGAGGCACAGAAGGTTTCGAAGGTCACCGAGACAGTAAGTGAGGGGTGCAGGATTGAAGTGAAGGCCGTCTGACTCCACTGTGCTACTTCTGAACTCCACAGAATAGGTCTCCTAATAAAGCCCACCTCATCTTGTTAGGATGAAATGATTCATGATTCACTTCTTGACAGGCTAATGCAGTGGTTGACATAGAGTAAGGACTCAATAAATGTTATTTTCATCCCCATTTTACCAAGCAAAAAGAGCATAAATGAGCATAACAAACAAATCTACCTTTAGTTGTTTGCCAGCTCAGTATGAGTCAGACATATAATGAGGCTGCCAAAAAAAGTAATGTTAGGCAACCTTACTAACTGTTCCACTTGGAAAACAAGTAAGGTGACAGCCTTGCTCTTCTCTGAGCCAGCCAGCCAGCACCACTTCTGGTGGTCTGGGCACAACTCATAGAGAGGCCATCAAGACTCGGTTGGTTGGAGCACTGTTCTGTAAACCAAAGGGTTGTGGGTTCGATTCCTGTTCAGGGCACATGTTTGGGTTGCAGGTTTGGTCCCTAGTCAGGGCATGTGTGGGAGGCAACCAGTTGATGTTTCTTTCTCTCTCTCTCTCTCTCTCTCTCTCTCTCTCTCTCTCTCAAATCAGTAATAGCATGTCCTCAGGTGAAGACTAATAAATAAGTAGGCCATCAAGAAACAGAACTCACCCAAACAGGAGCATGGAGGAGGTTACAGAAAACCTGCACTAGTCAAGACAGATGGGAAAGCAGTGAGGATGGTTAGGTAGGAAATAGCTGCCTTTATGAGGTAACGATGACTAGGTACCCCTGGGAACCATAAAACCACAGCCTATAGGAGCGGGGCTCAGACTTCAGGAGGTTGCAGAAGTACTCCAGGTGCTTCTCATAAAATGAACGTTTAGGAGTCAATGCTCTTGGCCAGAGGCTCTCAAACTGTAGCATGCCCCCAAGTCTCCTGCAGGGCTACTTAGAACACAGAGCGTCTGGCTGCACCTCAGTTTCTGATTCAGCAGGTCTAGAGTAGGGCCTGATAATTTGCATATCGTTAAGTTTCTGGGTGATGCTGGTGTTGCTGGCTCAGGATCCACAGTTTGAGAATCGTTGCTCTAGAGGAAGGCCCAGGATCAACTGTGAAAAGTTTAGACAGAGCGAGGTTTCAACATGATAGGGTTGTTCACAAGCAGAAAGGACTGCCTGCAGGAACCACTGCCCCCAAAGTGAAGATGCTGAAGCTGGGGCACTGGGAATGGGCGACACCACGTGATCGGGTCTCAGTCAGCTTGCAAAGACTGTGACTCTGTGGCTGGATGCACATGAAGGCAAGCACACCTGTTACTAATAACGTCTTTCTCCTCCTCCAACCAAAACACAAGCTCAATTTCAAACTCAATTCTAAGCTTAAGAGTAATGCCTTTAAAAATAGCAGTTAATTCCAAATAGGGTGTCAGTAAGCCAATGATTTTTTTTTTTAAATCCTCACCCAAGGGAATGTCCACTGGACTTTAGAGAGAGAGGAAGAGGGAAGGGAGAGAGGGGGAGGGGAGGAAAGGTGAGAGACACTAATGCGAGAGAGGAACATCAGCCTCCCATACTCACCCTGAATGAGGACTGAGAACCCACAACCTGGGTATGTGCCCTGACCAAGAATCAACCAGGGACCCCTTGGTGCATAGGGTGGCCTCCAGCCAACTGGGCCGCACTGGCCAGGGCGAGCCAATGTGTATTTTTGCAAGCACCAATGGAGAAGTGATGGATCTATTAAAATACCTTTTTTGCATCAGGTTTGCTAGAGAGGTGAACTTTTCTGTCCCCACAATACAGGGAAAAAACAAAACAAAACAAAACAAAACAAAACTCAGTGTGAGAACAATTTGTAACTACTGAAAGTTAAAAAAAAAAATCAAACCAAAGAAACAAGTCCTTTACCGAAGCCCCATAGCCTGCTTAAGATGTTTTATTCCACGTTTTTATCTAGAACATCATGATCTGTTCATTTATATTTTAACAAATTTATGGGTCAGAAAAGGGTGAGGTAAAAAGTTGATTGGACCAAAATTACATCCTTGGTTCCTTAAAATACTCATTTTATATTTCACTATAAGCGCTGCAGTTGTGTTTCTGAAACAAAAGAACAGGAGCGAGGCTGACCAGAGCCCCGCTATGGGGTGCCCCATTACGTACTATAGAGACTAGTATGAAGTTGGGTTGGGATGATCTCAAATGTGGGTATTCATCTTAGTGCCTTAAATATGAAACATCCAATTGCTTGACTGACTGACCAGCAAAGACTTAGGCTATATCTTTTCCTTGGGGGACTGAGGGGGTGGGGTGGGGAGAACACAACATACGACTAGAGCCAAAAGTTTGACTTTTCTAAAACTATTCAACTTCATGCAATGTCTAAAATGATGTCATCCAAGCTATCCAGTCAAGGTGAGAGCTCACAGCCTCCCAAGTGTGACTTTCCACATTCAGCTTAATATATTAGCCTTGCATATTAATGCTAAATAGAGTCTTGAGGTATTAATCTATGTTCATTCTGTCATAGTCCCTACGTTACTAAACCATTTCATCTTCTCCATAACAGAACTTTTTCTGAGAAACTTCTTTAACAAGTGGAAGATATTTCATAATTTTCCCCGCACCTGGCATTGTATCACAACGCAAAGACTCCCTACATCAGTCCCTTCGTCCGAGCTACAGGTGTCCTTCAGAAGTCATCAGACTGTGTGCTGACTAGTACAGGTCAGCATTCCGCCAGTATCATCCTATTACAAACCTTAATGTTTATAACCACTGAAGCCACCTCTAAGGTAGGCGCAAGGTCAGGAAGAGGTGGAACTCCTGGGCTAGCACCCAGCCCTAAAAGCCCTTTCATGATGCCTGATCCGAGTGTCAGAGCACCGGCCCAAGGACCTGAGCCCACTCTAAGATAGACAGGGCATGAATCGGAGTGGTCACAAAGCTTTTCTGCGAGTCCCTAAACCAGTGTGCTTCTTCACAGGTTTCTGGCCTCATGAAGGATTAAAGTCAAGCAATATTCTGGACATCTGGTCTCTTAAAAACAGCTGGGGGGGCGACACTGACTTGGTCATTTCCCCCCAGAGATAAACCTCACCGACAGGTTTCCTTAGAGCATCACCATGGGGGAAATTCCCTGAGGCCCTTCAAGGTCTGGGTTTAATCATTTCCTCAGCACCTGAGTGACAGGAGTAGTCCACTCTGGACACAATGGGCACTGAGAGGGCATTAGCACACCAGAGCGGAGGCTGCTGCTCTAAGACTGACTTAAAAGGTCAAGACTGAAGGGCTGCCCTTGGCCTGACCTGTCACTCTGTTTCTAATTCCAATCCCGCTGGGAACCACCCTGACCATTCCGCGCCGGGGACTTCCTCTCTGAAATGTCAACAGGCCTGTGTACACAGCGTTACTTTCAGCGTGGGGCGGATGTCACAGTAACCCACTGTCTCAGGCTGCTGTTTCAGTGTCCCCAGCTCTGAGTGCTCTCAGGGCAAGAACATCATTCGCCACTGTTTCCCAGACCCGCGGTGTAAAGTGCGGTACTCGAAAGAGAGTCCTTAAAATAAAACAGCCTGTCATTGTTTTGAAAAGCAAAATGAATATGCTTATAGGAATTATTCACAAGAGATTTGGTAAGAAAGAAAAAGAAGAGTAGAGACAATAAGATCTGGCAGAATGGAACTTTTGTATTTTACAACTGATTAGCTGCCTCTTTCTTCAGCTTCTGGAAATAAAAAGGTAGTGTAGCAGAGTCCTGAACTAGAAACACTGCAGAAAAAAATGAGTGAAATGATGAATCCTTTTCTTCACTCCCCGACCCACCCTAAGAAGGACTGGCTTTGTTTGACGGTGACCTTGATGATGACGAAAACTAGGATGCGTGTCTACTGGGAGCTTGCTCTCTATTGCTGCACTGTACATAAACATTTGACATTAATTTCTTTACTCCTCACAATATGCTTATGAGGTGAGTAGTCTTCACCTCCTCATTTATGGAAGAAACTGAGGCACATCGAGGTTCTGGAATTGGCCTAAAGGCACAGCTGATGACCCGAATCTGTGCTCATTTTCGCAACCTGACACAGGGAGGTGCCCCGATAGGGCACACTTGTATAACCGCGGATGGGTCCTGCCCTCCTCAGAAGCTAACCATGAACTTTTTGTTTAGAGTGAGTTATGCCAACGTGGAGACAGAGCTAAGTGATTAGAAAATTTACGAGGCCAGGTAGGTGTGTGAGAAGAGGGAGGAGAGGAGGCTGGCTCCCAGACAGGAGCCCCGGGGAAAAGAAAGTACGTGGCTGTTAACCGAGTTTTACTCCACGTATGTTCTTTATCCTTTCCTGGAAGCTTGTGAAGTCCTGAGTAAAGCTGTATCACAAATTCTTTGTAACACTGTGTCTGCATTTAGGAAATCAGGAAGACAGCGGAGCCCTGCCTCAGAGGTGGGCAAGCACACGTGCAGGAGAGAGCGTGTCCACAGAGGGGCATGAGTAACAGTGAAAGTGCAAAGAAAGCAGTAAAAATGCAAAGAAAAGTGGTTACCAAGAGACCAAGAGGGAGCAACTGATTTAAAGTGAAGGGTGAAACTGTGAATTTGTAATGGACTCATAAACTATAAAGCAATGGAAGTGTTAAAGCTATATTTGCATTTAGTAATCTTAAATATATTAAGAATGTAATATTTAGAATACTTAGAATTCTAGTTAGAATTTACTCATTTGCCCTTAAGAACTCAGAGGGTCTGTAGGTCCAGTACTGATGTACCCGTAGAGCTTGATTTCCCCTCGCCTGCACTCACCGGTACGTTGTTTCTGGAAGAAGGTCTCTCAGAACGTGGGTGGTGGTGTTGCCCACAGGGATGCAAGTATCTCCAAGATCAATATTGTAAGCAAGGATTTCAGATCCATTATTGCACGGCTCTTCCCAGTTCAGTACAAGGCACACAGAAGGTGAATCGGGGTGGGCACTGAGGGTCTCCTCCTCCAGGACACAGAGAGTGGAGACAGGGTCGGGGGCAGACGCTGGCGTCTGGCAAAGGACAAGCTCACTGTACGGTCCTGCTCCAGCTTGATTGACAGCCTAGGAAACAATAGCAAGAAAAGTCCATATCACCCCATTGTACCTTCCAAAGCTTCCATGTTGGGTGCTGGTAAATAAATGATATATGATTAATTTCTAGAAATTAGGTAGAAATAAATACTAGAAAATGCTCAATTTAACTGAATAAACACTTTCCAAAAAATGCCAATTACATCTTTTCTGTTAAGCAAAAGATAATAACATCACCCACATCTCCTTTTATGAAAATTAATTTAAAATTACTCCTTTATATTTGTATGGCCCATTTCAGGTTATATGCTGTCTTATGTGACCCTCACAATAAGCATCCGAGGCACTATTCTTACCTGCCTTTCACAGATATATAGGCAAAGCTGGGCCTGGAATTCTGTAAATCTGACTTTCCACTCCAGTGCTGCCCTGGGAGAGCAACAGAACTTTGCTAAAGGTCTCTACTATTTTCCATGCGATTGATAAACTCGTATCTGAAGTCAATTCTCAGCCTTTTCTGATTTTACCCGAGAGCAATAACTGAGCCCTTCCTCACTCACTGCTCTTTCAGACACTTATTCATTTGGTCTCCAGGACCCAGACTCCTGTGTTTACTAACCTGCGTTGCTTCTCAGTCACCTATGCAGGTTGCTACTCATCCCCCAGGTTTCTCAACGGTGAAGGGCCCAGGGCTCAGGCCTTGGACAGCTCTGCTTTTCTGGTCAAACTCAGAGACCTCACGTTGTCTCAGGGGACAAGTACCATTTATATCCCACTTTCAAATTTACTTGTGTAGCCTGCGCCTCTGCCTTAAATGCCAGCCTAATGTTTCCAACTGCCGTTTGGGCATCTCCACTTGAATGTGAACTAGGTCTCTCAAACCCCAGTATCCACAGAGCTCCTCATCTCCACGCCACCACAGCTCCTGTAGTTGTCCCCAGCCTTCAGCTTGTTCAAGTCACATCCCTGAGGCATCACCGGTCATCCCTCTTCCTCTCATACCCAGGCCACCAGCACATGCTGTACCACTCTAGTCTAGTCACACTCTCTCCCATCTGGTCACTGGAATGGCCTCCTAACTGGTATCTGTGTCAGTCCTCACCCCACACTCTACATTTACAACAGTGTTACTACTTAAAAACTACTTAAATCCCTTCAATAGCTTCCAACCATATTCAGAATAAATTGTGAAGTCCTCACAACAGCCTACAGGACACTGGCTGATCTGCTCCTCATTACCATCACCATTCTCACTTCCAACACCTACTACCCTCCCCCTCCATTCCTTTTCCTCGCTATTCCTCAGGTACACCAAGTTTGTTCCCACCTCAGGGCCTTTGCACCTGCTACCCCTTCTGTCCAGAAAGCCTTTCCCCCAGACTTCTGCATAGCTTGCTCGATTATATCCTTCAGGCTTTCAAGTGTTGCCTTTTCAGTGAATGCTCTCTAAACAACAAATTTAAACTTGCAGTTACCACCCTCCCTCGGCCCCTTTGATTTTGCTCATTTCCTATGTCCCGGCTTTGCCTTATGTCATCACAACATTTATCAGCAACGTAGTATATATCTTTCATTTAATGATTCCTCTGATTAAAATGTAAGTTCCATAAGAGCAAGGCTACCTTTGGTGCACTGTTGCATCCCAAACAACTACAATTGTACCTGACACAGAAATATGTGCTCAGTAAACATTACGAGAAACATTTTTTTCTTTATGAAGAGAAAAACATTGGACAGTCTTGTTACAAAAGTGAATATACTCTGAAACTTAGTTTCCATGTACTTCAGAGGAGAGCTTATGAGAACAATTACAAAACTTAGCAAAAGTCTGAGATCTTAAATCAAAGGTTCAAAACAAGACTTATAATACGTGTATATTACTGTTAATTTCAAAGAAGTAAGCTAAAAGTATTCATTGGCTATCAAATCACTTTTGAAACTCTACTAAAATATTTAAAAATTTTAATGTTACAATTTCTCTTAAGATTGTGTTTAGAGATTTCATTTTGGGGCACGAGTCTATCACAGGGCCAGGAGAGTAAGACAGAGCAGAGCGGATGCTCACAGCAGCAAAGGCCCCATGCCACCACAGGAGAGAAGGAAAGAACATGCTTTCCGAGCTGGAGCCTTGACCGCATCTTGGTCACTCTATGACTAAGTGTGCGATCTGAGGCAAACCAGTGTCTCTGCGCCTGTGTCCCAGATATAACATGGGGACAACACACCCAGTTCATGGGACGATTATAAAACTTAAACTGAGTGACACGTAAAGTCTGGGTGGTGTGTCAGGCCAACAGTCGGCGCTTCGTGTCTTTCCCTCCCATCGGGGAGGCCAGGAACAAGATGGCGCATTTCATACTTAAAAAAACCCAAAAATTTTATTTTAAACTAATTTTGGGCTAATGAAAAAGCTGCAATAATAGTACAAGAAATTTCTGTATCTCTCATACCTTACTTTCCCTAATATTACACCTTACAAAACCAGAACAATGATCAAAACAAGAAAATTAACATTGGTACGACTGTACTAACTACATACAGACGTGATTAAAATCTTAGCAACTTCTCCAGCAATGTTCTTTTTGTATTCTAGGACCCCACTTTCTTTTATTAGCTTCATTCTTTAGAAAATGCTTTCTTGACTCATACCATCTATTATTACTAGTTTTCAAAGGAAACAATTCAGAAGAAACTTTTACCAAATAAAACTATGCTTATAATAAAGAATATACCCCATGTAAACAGAATTACTTTGGCACTCATTAATTCAAATATTCCTAAGAAAGAGTATAAAAATTTAAAAATTGTTCAGCAAACAAGCAATGTTTCACCCAATTTTTATATAACACAGTATAGGTATTACAGTGACTTAATTTTTAAGGGATCAAGTATTCAAAAAGGATGTTTGGGTTTTAACCTGGTTTTGTAGTAATGTCAAATGAAAATAATTCATATTTGGTCCACAGTTAGCAAGAAATAAATACAGACTGAGCAGATCCTTTTTCTTGCAGTAGTTCATTAGCAGAGCAATGGTGGCCTTGAAAGGACTACCCCCTTCACGAGGTCTGACTCATTTTATGACAAAGACATATTTGAAAGTATTTGCTACCTCTGACTATGAAGACAGGGAGGCACGATCACTATGCAGGCTCTGCTCTTACCAATGTATCTTTTAAAATGCAGTTTGGGGACGTCAGTGGTAACCAACAACATAGACTCTGACAGGAAAAAAGTAGTAGAAGGACATTTGAAAGGCAGACCAAAAATCAAAAAGCAGAGTGGCATGAAATTCTTTCCTGTGGTGACAGAGAGTTCTTTATTTATATCCTGTCTTGTTCCAAAAACAGGAGAGTGGCACATAATTTAGCCTTTTCCCAGTGACTCAGCATCGCTGTTATGAAGGTCGGATAATGCGCTGTGACCCTGACTCACTCGTAAAGGGTTAATTATGTATGACCCAGGTACTCCATTCAGGAAGGAAGGTGTATAATACAAGAGTGTATTCAGAAATGTTTATGATAAAACAGGACTCAGAACTTAATAGAAAAGCTTCAATTGATCTGGAAAATGAACTTGTGAAGGGAATGTTTTCCCCAAAGACGCCAGAGACAATAATGTTGATGGATTTGTAATAAGCAATTTGATCTGTGACTTAAATCAGATGGACACCTAAATCTGGCTGCTTTGCTTCTTTATCTGAGATATTTAAATCTAAATGTGTGTGAGGACAGAATTCTTCAAGGCCAAGAAAGACATCTGACCAGCCTTCATCTTTCTCCCCCCAGATCATCCTGATCAGCTTTTGATTTTGGTTGCAAGCAGTGTTCAAGCAATGTTACTGAACCAATGCACAAAAGCCCGTTTTCTCAGGGCAATAAAAACATCATTCATGCAAATCAATAAAATCAAAGTAAACCCATGGCTATTGTTACAATTAGGGGTTAGGCGGGGAGCCAACCGTTCTTGACGTTGTTCTGTGTGGCCTCACAGGTGGGAGCTGAAGATAACCAGCCTTGTTAATGAACGGTCACTGACAAGTGGGAGATGGGTCATGCGATCTGATACAGACTAGTCCACACTACTCCGATGTTTGCTTTAGGCTCCATTTAACAGCTGGCATATAAAATTACTGTCTTTGCCAGTTCTGAGTGGCTTTCCCACTGAAATGTACATCTCCAAGAAATTCAGACAGAAGACTTTTCCTAAGGAGCTGTGACCCTTTGTCTTGGACTCAGTCATTTACTCAGGGAACTGATAAACAAGAAAGATGCAAGGGTAGTGAGAAGCAGACAAGAATCTGGTTTTGTTCTTATATTTCAGGACCTCCTAGAGTAGGAGACATTAATTGTGAAATTTATTTTTAGTTAAAAGACTCTTTTTTTCTCCTACTATGCCTCTTGGTAGCTTCCATCGTGACTCTTGGAGTAGGTTTCCAAGGGCCTTCCAAGGAACTGCAGTGTTTATGAGGAATGTCTGAGTGATGCCACCGACCTGCAGTCGACAGCAATACTGTGCAGCGGGCAACAGGTCCCTTATCGCAAAGCCCGTGTCTGTGCCGTGGTAGATGGCTTCCAGGGATTCTTCGTCCTCTCCCCATTCCAGCCTGTACTCTGAGATGTCAGCACCAGAGCTTTCAGGACTCTGGAAAGCAGAAATTCGTAACGTTAATTTCATTGAGAAGAAAATTCTGAGTTATCTGTGGTCACTCAAGCAAATTAAAAGAGTGACATACCCCAGGATATTTCAAATACATACAAAAGAAAGGCATGAAAGAGATACTCAACTTCCTCTCAGCTCTGACCAGTGGTAAAATTTCCACAACCTGAAATGCTATAAACAAATGTCAACAAAGATCAACATGTAAAAATCACCTAGAAGTGAATTTCGGCTTTGAAGAGGTTCCTCCTAACTTGCATTTATTTGGGAGCAGGTAAAGTCCAAGAGACAGAGAGTGACGCGGAACCCGTGTCTGACTCACCTCCCAGCTCACTAGGACACATCCGTCAGGAGTGAAGGAAACACACGGCGCTCTGCACTGTCCAGGAGGCCCGGCCGCAGTGGTGATTTCTGAGACGTCGGAGTAGGGACCATACTGAAAGAGAACAACGCCCACATGCTTGTACGCATGTGTTTGTGCACACCCGTGTATGTGTTCGTGCACGTATGCATGTACAAGCTTATAACCAAATAAGGATTAGGCTAATACCATCATCAATACAACTGATTAAAAAATAACCTAATGGGGTTTTCACTTTCAATTAAACATGTGTATAAGTTTTTCCTACATATATTCCTGAGCGGTAAATGTCTATTATATATGTGCCTTCATTTTATTCAAAAGAAGTAGGAAGTTGGTTTACCAAACATTTCCCTTTACTGGGACACTAGAAACAAAGCCAGGCTGATTCCTGACACAACAGGCTTTGTGCTTTAATGTTGCTTCTGAGGAACATTAAGTCGGGTACACACTGCAGTCTAATTCCTCATATAGAAACATCTACTGGAAATAGTTGCTTACAAAACTCGAAGTATTTCTTCTAGTTATGGGTGTTTTCCATTTTGAACACTGATGCTCCTGTTACCGTTTGCTCAGCATGTCCCTTCCATCTCGCTATTTGCAGGCTGACACTGTCCCCCTCCCTCTACGTCACCAGCGGTGACCGCAGTCTCAGAGCCAGCCGGCGCTGGAGACTCATCCCATCCTGAGAGAACAGGAGTCACTCATTTTAACATTGGAATGTCTGACACTCCAAAGACTTGAGGCAAAGAGTAAAATAAAACAATTTGCAGGCTAAGCACATGACTATATTTTTCAAAATGGGAAAAAAGATACATTTTTAAAACCCACACATTAAAAAAAACTCAAAATCTCTCACATTTTTCCAATACAACTTGCAAATATACTGGGTATGGTTGGGGGGTCAAGAGTGGGAGAGAAGCTTTCTGAAATGGACATGGTGACTAAAAGTCAACTACATGGTTAATTTCCAACAGAACAGGAGTACACCACAGCTAAAACTAGTTTTCGTATCATTAACTGATTAAAGATGAGAGTGAGTGAAACTCAAATCAGTCGAGTTGCACATTCATCTTTGTTACGGCAGAGACGCCATGGAAGGCCAACGGGGAGAAGAGCAAAGACAGAAGTAAAACGGATCCTGAAGCACCTGTGATCACCACCCTCCCGCCTCTCTCCACTTATACAAGTCTGGGTGTCAGGCTTCTCGTGTTCTCATCGATACGTTTCCCTGTAGAGTGCCACTTTGCTGAAGTAGTTTAAGTTGGGCTGTGTCTGAAATGCTTTCCTAATGGGGAATGAGAAGAACTCCAGCTGCTGTTTAGAAGCCTGAGACCTGCCCTCAGACCACAGGTTTTCACCGTCAGTTGTGGCGAACACAAAATGGTCTAAAGCGCGCTTCCCTTTGAGACGGTTTGTACGGGACTACCGAGAACAAGAAAAAGCTACTGCTAGTGGGCTTTCTTATTTTGAAATTTTTCATCAATTAATTTCATGTGTTTATTTGCACAGAACTCATCTAAACAAATCACTAGCACTTTTGGGGGATGTTAGTGGCAATGTGTTCTACTGACACCCTTCTGCCTGCTTTTATGTTTATGCCCATCTTTGCCACACCAGCAACACCCCAACCGAGCCACCTGACCAGGGCGACAGCAGTTTGGTTTTAAAACTGACTTAAGACTTCGCTGGATAATTTAGACAATATGCAAAAGGAATATTATTGTATATACTACTTTTAATTTCTCATAACTGATTAATAGAGGCAATAGAGCAAATAGGAAACTATTTTTAAAACTAATAATAAATAAATGCATCTAATAAATGCATCTAAAGGGTGAGGCTCTTATTAATCTTAAATTCTGTCTTAACAGAATGATATGAGGACATGGCAACAAAATTTCCAATGCTGGGAACATGAAATCACAAGATATTAAGTCAGAAAGACGATTTTATATGCACATCTTTAATGGTGGTCCAGGTTGGCTAGATACTGCCGAGGATTTCAGGAGGGTAGAAGCTGAATGCTAAAACCTTCTACTCACCCCTCCGTCGTTCAAAGCCCTCACTCTGAAACGATACACAGTTCCGGGCAGCAGGTTGCCGACCGTGCACTCAAGATCTGGCCCGTGGTACACCTCTGATGCCACATCCTCGGGTTCTGTCATCTCCACACTGTACTCGGAGACCTCGCAGCCACTCTCAGAGGCGGGGACATCTAGGAATGAAGAAAGTCTCACATCGCATCCTTTTCGTGCTTCCAGTTGACAAAAATCATATCGGACTTTCCACATGGTTTGCAAAACATCATGTAGGTGGCCCCTCCTCGGTAGCTTTCTTACAAAAGAACCCTCCCCCGAAAAATAAGAGATACAAAAGAAAAAGTTTCTGAGTGATGTTACCGATACTTTCCAAAGCAAGTACATTTAAGTACATTCATTATGTTAATAAAATAATGTCGTAAACAGTAGAACCATTAGGCAAATTTCTTGACCTTCTAAGGGAAGGGAAGAAACAGAAGAAAATCTTTTTTTGACATCAAAACAAAGGCCACATTAAATCAAGATACACGATCTAAAGTTGGCATGACGTTTTATATTTTAGACATAAATGGTGGGAAAAAATAGCCTGACAGATTTCTGCAGGTTTGTATTTGCAATTTTGCTGTATTTGCTATAAACTGCTGATACAAGAAATGCGAATATAGCTTGAATCAAAACAGGACCCACACGTGACAAAGCAGCAAAGATGAGGAGGAATTAGATGTTACCTCATTTCTTCGTTTATCTCTAAATTGAGCACAACTTTTTTTTTAAACGAATGAAGTTGAAATAATTCCTGAAAAAGACTGGCTGCTCTGAAACACTTTCTGGAAAAGCGCCCTCTGAAGGGCAGGGGGTGAACCACGCATGTGGTGCCATCAGGAAGAGGAGGGCGAACAACAGCGAGCAGAATACAATCCTGAGCCAACATACAGTAAAAAGAGTATGGACACTTTTCAACAGAAGAAAAACAAAAACAAAAACAAAAAATGGTTTTCAGAAGGAAGACTTCCAAGTTAATTTCAAAGCATTAAGTCTTAAACTTGATCTCCAATTGTCCAAACTGTCCACGTCCATGTGAAGATCGGTTCACTCACCCCACTCTAAGTGGACTTCTTTGTGCTTTGGTCTACCCAACACCCTCGGAGGTCGACACTGACCTGGTGCAATGCTTAGTGTGCGAACAGGGAGGCTTTCAGAACACTGCAGGAGAAACACCAGAGAGAACCATCTCTTAGTTACTGCAAATTTATTAGACCTCTACATACCAGGCAAATTCCACCCACATCTGTAAATGCTACCAAAAAGGCACTACACATTGCATGTGTACACATGATTTTCTGTGCAGTGAGATCTTCATGTGTGTGTTTTAAGTGTGAACATATATTGTGTATGGCACCGGTAAAAATGACTATTTTTGAAGTCAGATTTGTAGACAGGAGTGCCACATATCCTAAGCACACAGTTATTTTCCTTTAAACCCAAATTAGAAAGACCCTTCATGAGGACAAAAGAGGACACAAAACAACAGCTGGATGAAAATTTTAAATGGTGCCATAAATGGCCAACCGTCCACATACAGAGCAGAAAAGCAAATAAAGTCAGTATTAATCAACCGAGTCTGACATTAGCCAGCAGGTCTATTAATGCAAAAATAAGTAGGCCTTCTTTTGCAGGAACTGGTAATGTGGAAGCTAAACCCTTTCTGAGACAGGAGAGAACAAGGCAGAGCTATGCAGCTCAAGCAAACTCATTCTTCTTCCTGAGAAGCCGTGTGGAGAGGCACTCTACATGCTGAGCAGCAGCGCAGCCCCTGTGAGCCTTGGGTGGGTAGGGTCTCCTGCATTGGAGGTGCCCGCGGATAATCTGTGCCTGTGGTGTGGAGACACCCCACACCCTGGGAGGCACAGGGAGTGCTGCCTAAGAATGGTCTAACTGGGCCTCCTCACCAGGAGTCCTGTGTGTCTGTGGGCCATCGAACCACAGTGCGGAGGGCAGGGAGAGAACTAACACAGGACAACCCTGGAGGCGGGTTGACTGGCAAAATTGAGACCCAAATGGCAGGTATTCTCTTAAAAAAAAATCAACCCAGCACAAGGCTACAAAGGACCACCTCTCAGTCTGTCTCTCTCGATATTAATGGTTTCAAACCACAGTATCAAGTATCTCTACAGTCAAAATGTCTTTTTACCATCTTGTCCTTCACTTTCTGAATTAAGTTACAGCCATTTAGACAACAACTATCTCACTTCCAGAGCACTTCTTGTGGCTTTGTTAGGTTATTTTGAGCCTTTGAGAATGCCGTGTGGTTGAAACCAAGGCTCTCAGCGCACGAACCGGCTGGTCAGAGGTCACATGAAGAGCATAAAACAAGAAACCTGCAGACGCTGTGCTGGGCGGTGCACGTGCTGCCTTTCAGCTCAGGCGTCACAGAAGTGCATGGTTTCTATAGCAACTTTCCAGCAGATGGCAGTAAAGGTCCTTGAGGAAGGTGTGTCTCATGTTTTCACAAAAATTGCCGGATGTGTTAACACTGGAGCTGTACAGGACGTCTTTCATTCTGACCCATTTCTGTGCTTTCCTATCGCTGCAATAACTGAGGTCCCCCTTATTTCGCTAACACAAACTCCAGGCAACACTCAGTTTTCAACGGTCTCATGGGATCACAACAATACCTTGTAAAAAAATAACTAAGTGACAAATGTACCTGAAAATGTCACAATTCAGTTGAGAATCATCTGGGCTTATCTTTTATGTCCTCTAAAGCACAATTCAAAAAAGTGATACATTTTTACATAGCAATTATATCCTGATGTCATTGATGGGCTGTCTGAAGTTGACCAAAGACGTTCACAGAAATCCGTACCAGACCACCACCGACCTGACTGTGCCCACCAGTACTGATGCAGCATGCCCGCAGTTTGTACAAAGTGCCTGGCTTCAAGTGGGCGAACGTGTGTTCTGTTGCTGATCCGCTGTAGGCCACTTCCCACTGGCCTGCTGCAAAACAAGACTCGTGCATGAGTGTGTGCCTTTGGTAAAAGTGCAAATAATCAGCAACAACTAATTAAAAAATAAAAGCTTTAAGTGGTTTCCATGAAAACCAGCATCACCTATTCTCTCTCTCTTTTTTTTAATGGCCAAAGGGCTCTCTTTTCATTTCCTTTACAAAGTTAAATGTTAAAATAACATGGAGTCATTCTTAATACTAGGTCCTGCTGGCTAGACTACGAAATATCACCATCATTACATTTTCTGACTTCGAGCGGTTTAGATGCTGGGAACCGCACAGATCTGTGGCTGGCACATGGGAGTGGTGAAAGGAGACAGGGCCGTGTCAGGAGAGCTGTGATGTGGTCCCGGTGCAGGGAAGCCTCTCTGACCAGCTGGGCATGGGGAAGGCCGCTCAGGCATGAGGTTTCTGGTCAGTCTGCTGAAGAGTTTCTCCCTGCTTTTATCTGCCTGGAGGTTGCAGGGAGGGAAACTGAATGAAAACGTCCCGTTACAGACTGAGTCCTTTGGGTAAAGGCCTGCTATCTTCACCGAGCCCCACTTTAAAGACAAAAATGCCTAGGAGTGTAACAAAGAGGAAACACTCAGTATGTGACCCAGTTATCTGACCCTTCTCGGGGTTAAGGACAGCAATGAGGGCCACTGGAGCAGCCTGGGTGCCTGATGAAGCTGCTTCGACCCACTGCCTGCCTCACCAACCTGAGCTGCTGGGGTGGCTCTTCCTCCTGTCTTGCTCTCACTGATGCTACATTTCTGGTTAACTGTTTTACAAAAGCATTTTAACTCCATGAAGTTGCTGTAGGGAAAATGTTTCTGTCCTACTCTGTGTTATTTTACTAAAGTAACTTCCATGAATTACCACAGTTGCTTATTCAGTTAGATTTACAATTAAGTTACATGCAGGAAGGCCACAGGGGAAGGGAAAACATTAAAGATAGTTATCCTGACAATGCTGATTAGGAAACCTGTACTGACAAGCTGAATGGGAATAAGGACCACTAAAAAGTTTCAAGTATCACTCTATGCAGTGACAAAACTGTTGACTTTAAGTAGAGAATGACACCTACTTTTGAATTGTCATCAGTGGTCAAGAGCCATGACAATTTGAACTACACTTCAGTTTTCATAGTAAGCCACTGCACACACACACATGCCTCGTCTTATAAGGGTGGGTGTTCTAATGTAGAGAATATGACTTTGTACTGACAACAGCTGTGCCCATCTCAAAGCATTCTCATGTTTCTAGCTTAAAATAGGGCCCGATTAACAGGAAAACCAAAGCACTCCAGGTGGTTTCTGTGGTACAGAATAAAGGGCTGGCCACACACCTGGATTGCTGGTTTGTAAAAGTTACTGTTGACTCCTTTTTTTTGCAGTATGTGGGGCTCCTATGCAGGGATCACTTTTGATTGACAGTGAATACAATGATTATTAGAAGAGTGAGATAAATCATTTTTAAAGTTCTGGTGACTATACCTTTAAAAAAAGCTTAATGAACTTTATTAGAAAGACCTAAGAATTTTTAAAAAGGCGTTATCTGAGGAACCTGATACACAACCTTGTCCCATTTTGGTCCACATAGTATGACAACTAAAGAGTAAACAATCTAACTCAGAAATCACAACAAAGATGAAAAGAACATTTTCTAACTTGTTATAAAAGTCTGACACTTGTCACTAGCCTACAGCAATACTGTATTTTGTTTGCCATCATTGTACATGCGAATTTGTAGGCTACCAAACTTGTCTGCTGTTCCCACCTTATCTTTCCTGCTGATTGCTTCTGACCCTCACTCTGCTTATAAGAATGTCCAGAGAAAGTGTGCCAAAGGAGGGGGGAAGAACTCTGAAGGGCCCTTTGAAGGCAACTGCGCGGCTGATGTGGCCCCCGGTGAAAATGAGTTTGACACCCCTGCATTAGAAGGAATGCTTGCCCACTATTACTATACAGATGTTTCTCATATGAGAAAATAGGGCTTGCTTTGGAATTGAATAAAAGCATTTCCAAAAACTTTACCTTCAGAATTTCCATCAGTGATCTCCAGCAAGTACTTGAGTATTTCTGAACCACCATTGTCCTTTGGAGGATCTGGAAAGTAAGCAAATGCTATGTTAATTATGAAAAGACATTGATTTTTATTGGTAAATATCATTGAAACCCATAAAATCATTTAGTATTATACTGCCTTAATTCTGTATTTAACCAAAAGGCACAATTAATATTATTTCAGGAAATTTCTTTCTTGTCAAACAAAAGAAACAAACAAAAACACCAAGACACCTTAAATGCTATCAGATTATTCAGAGTTCTTAGAGCTAGAAATGGAAAAGAACATTTACTGAGTGAAACACGAGCAAAACTCAAAATAGGAATCGATTTTTCTAAGACTTATGTTAATACATTTACTTTGAGAATTCTGAAACCTGCTCTTTCATAGTGATTTTTATATAAGATGAAATATTTATGTATTTCTTTTTATTTCACTTATATTATCACTGGCCAGATTCTTTTGAGAGATGGATGATGAAAGAGAAGTGAAACATTTATTGACAAAATAAACAAAACGTCAGAATATAATAAATCTGTACCACCACAGCCTGCTATTAATCAAACTTTATTTCCCAAGTGAGACTAATACAAAACCAGAGTTATGGACCAATGAGTACATACACTAAAGACGTGGTTTGAGGAAGAGGTTCTGGCTTATGACCAGAGCCCTGCGACACTCTGGGTATTTAGTCCTCTCCTAACTGCGTGTAACTTTTCTCTTCTGAGCAGAAACATATCTTGCATTGTAATTTTGTAAGACTACGCAGAATTTACCTCTGCTATCAGTCAGCCACCTCTGTATTTTAGATGTACTCTCAGATTACTCACATAAAGACTCAGAAACTTTATTTCCCTTCTCCTTTAACCTGCGATTTCCATTAATGCATACAGACTTCAGTAATAGATATTTAAAACAACAAAGTTAAATATTACAGCATATGGCTAATGAAAGTAAATATACGGTGTTAACAGAACTTTCTAAGATTTTCTGAGGACAAAAAAGCTTTACGGTCTGGCAAAAAGCACACCTAAATTTTTACAGTTTCTCTTAATCATATTGATCTTCCAGGGAAATACATACCCTAATAATTCTGTCTCAAAATTATTAGGTGATTTGAAACAGTTATATGTCTCAGTGGTTGGTTTCCAACAATGATTCAATAATATCTTAAATTCCCTTTATATTACTTGGGCTGCCACATAAAATCTTATTTTAAATTCTATTTTTTTTAACCTTTTAGATAACTAGTATTATTATGACATTAGTGATAATTATATACATATCATAAAAGCTTTACATGTAATTGCAAATGTTTATCAATATCCTAATGGCATTCATGTCCTTGAAATAAGAGAAGCAGCAGAGGTGAGCCACAGTATCATTCTACCTGATGCCCCAACCACTACACAAGGAACTTAATAGGAAAAATGCCTGAAGTTGAAGACCTCTGGCTGGTCATTTACAAATTACAACAAAATCTAAAGTGTTCCTAATTCATTTTAATGCGAACATTGTGCATGTCAAAATTTACTCGTGATGGCATACCTAAATTTTGAAATTTACTTCAATATTAACTGTATAAAACAAATTTTTACATTAAATATGACTGCTTTCTTAAGGGCAAGCTATTGAAGAATGAAATATATACTCAGAGATTACTACATTCAAATCAATAATACATTAAAAATATAGGAAAACCATGTAATACAGGAAAATCAGAAAGTATGGTATGCTTTCAAAATTGTCCATTGTACTAATTTGTGGAGTTCTCTGGATGTTTCTCATCTGCTTTTTCCAAATGTGTAAAACCCCCATAAGTACTGTAATACTGCCCTTTTAATTTTTATTTTGGTTTGTCACTACTGAAATTAATACATTTAAAAAATCTGTCCAAAAAGAAGCAACAGCAGCAAACATACCCCACTTGACACTAAAGCCGTGCGATGTAACTGGGCCTTTAATGAGGGGTCTTGTAGGTGGTCCAGGCCTGTCGGGACTCGTCGTACAAACCAAGACTTCACTGGGACAGCTTTTCCCTTCCAGGTTAGAAGCAGTCAGCTACACCACAACCGAGAGAATATTAACATGCTTGAGATACCAGCCATCAAGTCAGTGGTGGTTTTTTAACATGGCAAGATCAAGGCATCCATAAAGTCACACAGGCACATACACACATTTTCTCTCTCAATCTCAAACTACTACTTTCTAAGCATTTATGAAGTACTTATTTTCTGTAGAGTTGGCTATTAACAATGAAAAATAGAATAAGGTGGGTTTTAGCTGCCATTTTACTCTTTCAAGAAGACACAAAGCAATGCCGGTTACTACCACCACATTCTTAGTTTCTGTGAGAGGAAAACACGGAGGGGGAGGAAGCGGACAGGAACCACCTCACCTGTGTGAGAGCAGTGCAACGCCACCTTGTGGAGGAATGCTAGCAGTATAGCCATGTTCTCACGGCCAGGATCAAATAGCAAGGGTTCCTTAAAATCTCAGAAACTGACATTTTCCTCAAATAATCACAACTTTCACTTGATAATTTGACAGCTGTGTACTGAGTGACTACTACCCGCCCAGTTAACACCACCTGACCCCCAAATTACAGAAGGGAGGGTGGGATCTTCTCTCTCCAAAACACACGCTGTCACAATGGAGAGCAAGCACCGTGCGCAGGGGCAGTGAACAGTCTGCAGCAGCCTGGTTCTCTCTCTCTTAGTGGTTGCAAAGCACTGGTTTTGGCTACAACATAAAATCCTACATTGGCATTAATGGTGGTTGTTAACAACCAAAGCAAAAGCCTAAGTGGGGAGGGAGTGGGTAAAGAAAAATAGAAACAGTTGAGAAAAAAAATGAGCAGAAGCGCAAAGGAAAATGGAGAGTAGCAGAAAAACCGGGTTAAAAGGAGAACGAGTGGAGAGGAGGGTGTGGCGTGCAGGTGAGAGACACGCACACTGAGCGTCTGGTGTGGGTCTTCCCGGCAGGGCCGTGTGGCCGTGCTGTGAAGCAATTTATTACAGCACATTACGACAGTTTTCTCTCTCAAAAGTAGGTTTCTCTCTCAAAATTAGTTTGGTGTGCATATTATAATGTTTTTTTTTAAATGTAAATGCAGTGAATTAAAAAAAAATTTTGACCTGTAGCATCAATTTAAAATAGTAAATGGGTAAAACAAAAACCAGCTTCTTTTTTAAGCAGTTCAGGTATCAAAATGACTGACTCACCCTGAATTTATACTGTGTGCTTCTTTTGAGATTTTTCACAGTACAGGTTAAATCCTCTCCAGTGTATTTTGGGTGGAAAAGGTTATCCTGAAAGGGCAAAGCCAGAAAGAAACATCAGTACCATAAAACCTGGACATTACACACCGGTGCATGTAGGGTTTTTATGTGGCCTCTTTCCGCCATCGCCAGTAGGCCAGAGGTCTGGCAGCTATTGCAAAGGTGTCCGAAGTGTTGGTGCTGAGGACAGCACTCCAGCTTTAGGTAAAAATTAAACACTATCACACTGTAATTTCTCCTGGGTCTGTTCAACTTTATCGTAAGGCTAATACTATTTTCAATGAGAACAATGCTCTCGGAGAGAATGTAAAAATTTGCTTTGCAATAGATGCCACCATATGCTTTCTTTAAGAGCAAACTTTCCCTGGTTACTCAATAAGCATTTTAAACAAAGAACTTAACCACCAAATGGTAGTTGTTACAAAGCAGTACGTACGTTAAAAAATTATTTAAATGTTGTCCTGAAAAAAACCCCTTGTGCTGAGGTCTTCGCTGCCAAGTTGCAATGTGCTGCACAATAAACTGGCTGAGATTTCTGACCACACAGTGTCCTCTTCTGGCCAAGGAAGAAAGGACAGCTTGGATGGGGAAGGAATAAATATCCCACTAAAAGCCGAATGTACAAAATTCATTCAATGTGACTATCATCCACCCATCCAATATCACTGAGACCTTCTCCGCACCAGGCCCTCTTTTCTAGGCCCCAGGGGCTCAAGTACTGCCCAAGGACAGGCCAGAGCAACTAACGTGCCAGCTGGAGAAAGTGACTAAAACAAAACAAAGCCTATATATAAACATGAAGCATATCACACGGCACTAAGTGCTGTAACAAAAAATTAAGCTGGGTAAAAGGACAGAATGGTGGACCCAGTAAGGTGCTGTTCTTTATAGCTGCACAGGTTAAATAAGGCAGTCATGGGTGGCTCTTTACACATGGGTGACTCTGTTACAATTAAAAATTTAATTCCTTGAGCCCACAGCCATATTTTAAATGCTCAACAGTCATGTGGCAATAGACACTACCTTATTGGTCAGCACAAACTATTGAACATTTTTATCATGGAAAGCTGGATTAGACAGCATTGCTTTACAGGCCAGGAAAGGGCTCTCCAAAGAGGTGACGTGTGAGAAGACACCTCAAGGAAATGAGGGAAGAGAGTCACAGCTATCTGAAAGGGCATTCTAGCCACAAGGCTTAGGCCCTGCGAAGGCCCTTGGGGCAGGGCTGCCTGGCGTGCCCCTTGGCGTGCCCCCTGAGACTACAGTAGCAGGAACAAAGGGCTGTGGGCATCAGGGGAGTGCAGGCCTTCCCTCTGGAAGGCAGAGGGCAGCACTGAGATGGGAAGGGTTTTGAGCCCAGCACTGACAGGATCACCCAGGCTTCCTGTGGAGGGCTGAGTCTAGTATAGTCAGGGTGAAGGGGGCAGAAATACTTCAGACGCCATCACAGTAATCCAGAGGTGAGACTGGTGGCTTGTGAAAGAGGCATTGCCCTGGAGGTGTTGAGAAATAGTGATTTTTCTGAATAACTCCTGAAGGAAGATTTAAAAGGATTTGCTGACTGATTATACATGGAGTCAAGGATGACTGGGAGGGTTTTCGGTTCCCCACGAGAGAGGATGGAGATGCCACGCACTGAGATGGGAAAGACTGTGGGAAGGACAGGTTGCTGCTGGTGGTGGTGGCTGTAGTGGATGACGTTAAGGGTTTGGTTTTGAATTTGTGTAGCTACTCGACTTTCATGGGGTCCTGTAGTTATGCCATACTGACTTACAGAGAACACATGCAAGGGTGTAAGATCAGCAAAACTTACATTTTCATCCTCCTGGATTTCCAAGGTGTAGGTGACCGCTTCCTCAGGTGAACAGCCTTCTGGTTTATTCCACTGCAGCGTGACCCAGGTGACCCCAGCTCGAACAAGCCTTGGTGCGGAGGGCATCTGAGGAATGTTTCCTAGTGTGTAGTATACCACCTCTTGGCTGTAACTACTGTAGAGAAATAAACGCAGGAGCGCACAGGTTTAGGGGCACGTGAAGAGCCTCAGTACTTTCAGTGGGAGAGGACAGGACTGCCTACTGCACAGGCTGCTTGGGTGGGAAAGTCTGGGGCCTAGCGCTTCAGCAAGCAAAGGAAGGCGTTTTGAGATACTTCTGATCACAACTTTTATTTGCCAATGTCCCCCTTCAGTCTTCTGCTTAAAAAGCACAATGCATTACAGGACAAAATATAAGAACTTATTTTCCCCCAAAAGCACCCCACAGAAAGCACAATTTAGTGCCATGTCTACCAAGCTATGAGCCACAGCTACCAAGGAGTCTTTGACTCAGTGTGAACATAAATAATGTCTGTTGATAAAATAAATGTTTTACAAATACACACAGTGCTACTTTTCAGAAGTCTGTGGGTATTTTCCCATCATTTACAAATTCTTCAACCATGGAAGCCTTTATCGTTATCACTCTTTAACCAGTGAACCCTAAAACTGCAACAGCTATCATGGGTGGAGACGGAGACTCAAAAAAAGGTGGAGACCAGTGATGTGCTGAACCTTTAGGATTTTCAATAAGCAGTGATGAAAAGACTTTTCCTTTAATCATGAGTTATCAAGGAAGTACACTTGAAAGACAGTCACTCAAAGCATCTGCAACCACCGACGATTTGCTGCACACTTGCTCTTGTCTTCCTCCTGCAGCCTCTGAGCTGTGGTGGCCTGGCAGTTCATATTTTCTCCCCTCCTGTAAGAATCCAACCTCAGCTGGACGACAGTGGCTGGCCCTGCACCCCTTTCTTTGTATCAGGAAATACACAATTGGAAAAAGTAACAGAATGAGTAGTTCACTAACATGATGAAAGAAAAAGGCCAAGGGACCTGAAAAAAAAATGCGGCTGCAAGAGGGATTCCTTTCAGTATCTGCACTTGTTACCTTCATCTTGGTTCTCAGAGAGGCGCCTCCCGGGGCCTTTGCATTATAGCTTGCAAGAATGCAAAGGGGCCACCCAGTGGCATTATCACCTCAGAAGTGGCCTTCTTCCCTCTGACTAAGATTCCTCCTCGAAAAGCCTTAAATCGGTTCAGTGTGGAGGCAGCAGTGTCCTCATGCCTTCCGGAAGCAGGGGAGGAAGACGCGTAATGACCACACACATGAGGACAAGGAAACGCCATACCTGGTACCGATGTCATTCCGGGCGGCCAGCCTGAATGTGTACCCCATTGCTGGACAAAGCTTTGTCAACTTGCAATGCTTCTGGCTCCCAAAGAAGCACTGCCTGAAACCACTGTTTCTTTTTCCCTAAGAGAAAAGTGAAACAAGACACATGAGTTTTTTTAAAAAAAAAAACATAAAAAAATGAAGGAACGTTTTGAATAACTGTTTAACGTCCTAGTTTGGATGAACTAAACCAAGAGCAGGAAAGCTTCTAGCAAAGTGTTTTTAGTTGCACATAAAAATGCTCTCAATGAAATGTCATCCTTAGCATAAAGGCACTTCAGGAAATTCTGTACCTGAGATGACTAATGCTCTGTATCTGTGATACTTCTAAGGTGGCTTCGGTTAACAAAATAAAAAGGCCCTCTCAGGCATATGACAATACCCAATTTCTCAAATCTTCCTCACTCAGGTTGGTCGCACTGCCCAGTCCGACCAACTGAGAGGAAGTCTGCTGCCCTGGAGGGACCGCCAGGGTGGGAAATGCACGGTGCTCCCCAGCGTCTGCCCAGCAGCCGAGGGGGTCCTCCCCAGCAGCCGAGAGCTGTCTACCCAGCCTGACCTGCCACAGAAAGCCTCCCAGTCTCCTGTCCTGTCTTGCCTCAGCCACCAATCTCCCCACTTGCACATTCCGGTGATGGTGGGCGATTTGCTCACTGATCCCTAAATATTGGTCACATGCCTTTGAATCATCTCGTCCACATCTGCTGTTCTCATAACAGTGCTTTGGACAATCTGGGAGCTCAATCAATGCTTGCAGAGGTGAAATGAATAGCTGATAAGCACTTGGAACATTGGCTGAATTCATTTATATGTATTACGGCTACTCCTATGTGTCTTATGAGACTGGAAATATATTTTTAATGCCTTTCTAGCCTTACATGATGCTTCAAATTCCTTGAAGTGAAAAGAAAACACTCCAGTGGGTTCTCTTAATAGACCAATGAATACGAAAAAAAAAACAGAACCCGACTGCACTGTGCCATGCTTGGAGGCATGGAGTACTCACATCAGCAGTATGCTAGAGCAAATATTTTCTACCCGTAATCCACAGTATTTTATCTACGTTCATGCAAAGAAAAACACCCAACAACATTGAAAGTATCTTAGCATTCTAATCAGATGGTTGTGCCCTGGGCCTTCCAAAGTATGTTTGAAGTTCTCAATTTATTTTATTACAAAAAAAGACGAAAGCACATTTTTCTTCTAAGCAAATTCAAACATTTCCTTCCTTTAAGCAGACCTCCAAATGCTTACCATTAAATCACATTCCAGGTAAATTTTAATTAAAAACCAAATAAACATACGTTTAGCTGGAAGTGTTACTAGGATGACCAGATTGAAAACCACCTTGCACCTGCATCCTCACACTGACCCTTCCCCACCAGCCCCTCCCTGAGCAAAGTGGTGCCTTTCCAGGAAGGGAGGAGAAGTCTGAATCTCTTTAAGATCCAAAAGTCTTTTTATCAAGGGTTCAAAGAACATTCAGGTGCCAACAGTAAAGCATAGCATTTTTCCGCTGCTCCTTGAGTGAAGTCGCTGTGTCCTTCTGCTTACTTTAACCTTGAGTGTTAAGGTTGCTGCAGACGATTTATTCATATAAAAGCTCTTTATACACACATTTGCATAATTACAGCCAGTGTCTGATTACACTCTATGCCCCAGTATGTTTTGTATCCCTCTCAGGCTGCAGTGTGATCTACCTTCTTTTTCCTCTACTTCTGAGCTTAGAGTAAACAGAGCAAGAAAGGCACATCCTGCCGCCACGGAAGCCTCATCCCTTCCAAACCCAATGCTGGCTGCCCTTCAATGCCTCATTTTTCGTATTTCTTTGTTTGGTCTCCTTTGCCCATTTCTGGCGCTCAGAACTACAGCCAGTAAATAAAAGTCAGTCTGTTCCTTACTAGGTTGATTTGCTTCAATATGGTGAAAACCAGACTGTCCGTGATTTAAATGAGAAAGAAGAGTGCAGAGGCATCAATGCTGAGAACTAGACTTTTATCTTTTAAAGGGCCATTGCAATGGGGCTCACTAAAGAATGGTGTGGGGGGTGGGGTGGGGAGGGGGCAGGCATCCTGTGACCTTTAAGACATTTCCTATGTTGCTAACATTTTTATTTTCAATTACTACTTCAGCATCAGGAACAACTGCTAAATAAACTCCAACTTGTTTAGACAAAGTATGCCAAATTTTCCATCTTACTGCCTTCCAAGGTGTACTTTGTTCATGGTCCTTAAGAACATGAAAAAGAGGCAGACTTGCGGGAACCTTAGAATCAAGTCTGAGAACCAGAGTCTATAGAGTCAGAAGGGGTAAGGGTCCAAATAGTTCACAGAGTTAAAGAAGTAAGGCTTATTGGTGAATTTTTAGAAGTCGCTGAGAATAAAGCAAACACCGTGGAAAGTTAGGTTAAAATATTTCAGACACAAGAGAAGCTTTTGAGTAAAAGGAAATATTCATGTATGACATGGAGATTATTTTAAAAGGGCCACCTGGGAAGAAAAAAAAATAACATTCATAAAAGTCACCGCAGGGAACAGTGATCCACAGCGGAGAAGGAAGCAAATGAGGATGGAGAAAGCCCCCGCAGCCCTGGTCTTCCACGGCAGCCGGTGCCCGGCTCTGGAATGGCTCTGGGGGCTTAGGCACCAAGGTCCATGTTCAAAGTGATGTTGAGAATTTGCTTGTAAACCAAGAGGAAGCACAGGTTGCAAACAGCATTTATAAATAAAATATTTCCCAGTTCTTGTTGTTGACAGAAATGGACAGGATTTTTTGTTAAGATAGTGGTCTAGAAGGTTGAAAGATTCAGACAAACTGACAGGAATTACAACATGAATGCTTAATCATTGTTTATCAGAAATTAAATATGTGCAAGCCTTTAATATGAGTGAAGTCTTACAGGTGGCAAATCGTAACTTCCAGATTTTATAGGTAGCATGGCTTCAAATGATTCTGAGAGATTACAACCTGTGAAATGTTCTTTGTTCTAATAAAATCTAACTTAAATGACACAGGGTTCCTGAGACAGACCACCTTCACCTGGAAAGGAAACGTACGCTTAATAATTTAAAGTCATCCTGGGGCAAAGTTTCCCGCTAAAACATGGCCCTAACAGAAATGGGCGATCCGACCGTTTTCAGGCTTGCTGTCATCAAGACTCCGGTCAAACACAGGAAGCAGGTATGTCCGGGGCCCAGGCCCTACCCTGGTCAACCACTGCTGCTAGGCCAACTTGTGACTCACACAGAAGAGAGGAGAGTGGGGAGTGGGGTCAGGAGTGGGTCTAAAAGGCCCAGAAGCTGGCTGGTGCCCAAGGGAAGAGCTGGGGCCAGGATGCTCTTCCAGGTGGGATCAGGCGCATGTGAGAGATGAGGACCAGAAACTCCCTGAAATAGCGCACCTGTGTTCCTGCTCTCCTGGGGAAGAGAAGGAAACTTCACCCCAATTAGAGAAAAAGGGGAGAGGGGGCTTTGAGCCCAAACCCCTGATCATTCTGGAGCAGACCTGGCCCCTGGGCTCTATCTGACACGAGGCAATGTAACACCCAGCCTTGTTCTGGCCTCACATTCTACTGCCAGTGTCCACAGGCCAAAAAAGGCAGATTTTCAGGGTTCCCTGGCTTGTTTCCATTTCACAATGTAGGCCATGCATGAGCACACATTAGGTTCATTCAAGGACAAAGCTCATCTTTACTACAATGTGAAGCAATCTTGAAGTGCAAATCAACTGTGTGCCAATAAACTTCACAGCATTCAATCTGGCATGAGGTGCGGTATTACCAACCTGGGTTGCTTTCTTTTGTCCCTTCTCATTCAACTGAATTTATGGTCCTTGCTAATCTACTGTCACCCCACACCCAGACTTACCCTGAGAGTACCAGTTCAATAATACCCTGGGTGTTGAGACACGTGGAACAGTTTTGCAACCAGAGCCCAGGGCACCATGTCCTCGACTTCTGGTCAAATTTGCTCTCCAGGGAAGCACTGGATTTGCCAGCAAGCTGGCTCACGTACACATATCAGATCAGTCCTTCCCCAGTCCTAAGCTTCCCACTTTGCCTCTATGTCCTCTGTCTTACCACTGAACAAAAACATAGGGCATGTCATCTACTTTCTAGAGCCTTGGCCATTCCCCGTTTCCACTAGCACGTCTCAGGCAGTGTGGTCCCCTGTGTACTAAAGCCGTATTTACCACGAAGCCTCCTGGCCTAGCCTGGACATCTCATTCATCTTATCCTTGGTGAGCAAGGGTCACCTTTCAGTTCTAGATTCATTCTAAAGGGGGTCAACATCTCTGGAGGAAAGTTCCAGCCTTATAACACGTAGAAGAGCATATGCTCTAGCAGCATTTGCCTGTTGCTCCATCCTCATCCTCACTTTCTTAGAAGAGTCAAGAATTTGGTTACAAGTCCAAAAATAATGAATCCAGATGTCCTTCTGGATCCAACAAGGTCCCTGCAAAATTCTGAAGAATGTCAATAACCTCCCACTTTGCATCCGACTTGAAAGGGCCCTGTCTCGGGAAGGCAGGGGTGAGAGAAGAGGGCTTGGAGGAGTGAGTAAAATATACTTATGTGGCTACGTAGCCCAGAATGACTCACCCTTAGAAATATTTTTGCCCAGATGTGTTAATGACCCCAGGGACAAAGATGTTAACCTTATCACACATTGTTTCATTGTTTAAAATGAATTTTGAGTTTAATTATAAATATAAAAGGTTTTAGATATTTTGAAAGACACAGACTCCATTTTCCTATTTTTATCTTCTGCAATTTAATTATCTACTTGAATATTTCCCATTACTTCCTAATATGTAGTTTAATAAAAATTAGCTATTAAACAAAATTATGTTTCTTAGTTACCCCCCCAACAAAAATTTAAATACTTTGCTGACCTGCTGTGAGTCAACCCAAAGGAGCAGGACATGAGGCAGAGGCACGAACTGGCAGAGATACCGTTCACCTCCCGGTTCCCTGTCCTTATCACTAAGGGAGCAGATAGTGATCTCTTCCATCGTTCCCTGAGCAGAGCAGGGCCTGAGTCCCCACCGACCACTGCGTTTCTGGGTGCACATTTACGCCT